TGTAGCCATACTTTAAAATATTTTGGTAATTCTTCAGCATGCTGAACTACAAACTCCTTCAAATATACCATGATCGACTTCACCACACCTCAGACTGTATAGATTGTAACAGCCGCCAAAATGGGTCCATTGCACACTGCATTAAGTCAAAGAATGCTTGCCGTGTTTGGCCATGAGCAAAACCATACAAATAGTATTTTTATAAAGCCCTATTTGTAACTAAAGTAAAGTAGCTATCCTTTATCCTATTATCTGTGGTTACACTAGTTCATTGTGGGCAATGTACACCCATGAGTGGATTTTCTTTATGTCAGTATTTAATTTACAGTATTTTAAAAATAATGCGACAGAGTACCTTGATTTTTCTAAGTATTTAATTCTTAGGATCAGACGAATACAGTCATTCCCATCTGAGTGTTTTATCTTTTTAACAGGACAGTTCACCCCAAAATAAAAAAACAACATGTTCTTCCTCTTACCTGTAGTGCTGTTTATCACTACAGGTACGTTTTGGTGTGAGCTGCTGAGTGTTGAAGATAAAGGCCATAGAGATGTGCGCCTTCTCTCCAGTATAATGGAACTAGATGGTACTCGGCTTGTGGTGGTTAAAGCAACAAAAAATACATTTAAACTCTACAGCAATGTGTCTGCCAAGAAAACATGACCAGGTTACTGAAGATAATCCATCCATTGAAAACCCCACAGACAGGGGCCTCAGCCAGACATTCCCAGTTCACCCTCACTACACGTCTGGGTTTACCAGGTCTGTCCGGCAGCCTCCCCCGCCATCTGATCCAACTCACCATCAGGTGGTGATCAATTGACAGCTCTGCTCCTTTCTTCACCCGAGTGTCCAAGACACACGGCCGCAAATCTGATGATACAACCACAAAGTCTATCATCGATCTTTGGCCTAAGGTGTTCTGGTACCAGGCACACTTATGAACCTCCCTGTGCTCGAACATGGTGTTTGTTATGGCCAATCCATGACTCGCACAGCAGTCCAATAACAAAACACCACTCGGGTTCAGGCCATGCAGGCCGTTCCTCCCAGTCACCCCCTTTAGGTTTCTCTGTCATTGCCCACGTGATTGTTTAAGTCCCCCAGAAGAACTATGGAGTCCCCAGCCGGCACCCCTGCCAGGACACCACCCAGAGACTCCAAGAAGGCCGGGTACTCTGTACTGCTGTGCGGTGCGTACACACTAACAGTCAGAGACCTTCTCTTCAAGACGAGACAACCCTCTCATTCTTCGCGGAGAACCCCAACATGGCGGCGCTCAGCCAAGGGCTTGTGAGTATCCCCACAACCGCCAAGTGCCTCTCATCGTGGGCAACTCTGGAAAAAGGGAGAGTCCAGCCCCTCTCCAGGAGTTTAGTTCCAGAACCAGTGCTGTGTGTGGAGGTAAGCCCCACTATATCTAGTTGGTACCACTCCACCTCCAGCACCAGCTCCTGGTGGGCCCACAGGGTGGCGGCTCCATGTTACTCATTTGGGCTGAGCCTGACCGGCCACCAGACACTCGCCGGCGAGCTCCCCCACAGGTCTGGCTCCAAAGGGGGGGCCCCAGTGTCCCCATACCGGGCGAGGTACTCGTTCCCCGAATGTGCCGAGTCACTGAGGTCTTTTTGAAGACATCCATAGACCCTATTGTGAGCAGTTTTATGTAGGAATTGTCTTCTATCTACCAAACTACACCTGTCAAACCTATCACCATGGAGAAAGGAAGCCTGTATTGCTGTTGATATTGTTAATATGTATTGCAGCAATATATATAAATATCACAACAAAACATTACACAGACTGTGATAGATGATTTTGTCCATGCTGCCAACCCCTAGCAGAGGACTTATAATTTTTCCCTAACTCCAACAACATAAACACCTTAAGGGTACATAGAAGGCCTGACTTGATCATTTTCAAGGTCATTTAGGTCCAAGGCCTCCAGGGTTACATGCAATTCCCGTTTCAGCGGTCTTAACTTCCAAATCGTCTCTGGACAGAGGAACCTTTAAGAGTTCAGTTTTAACAGGTGAGAGGCAGAAGTCTGTTTGTGTGTATGGGATTACCTCAGGCTAAGAAAAGTGAGCTAGGAAAAGCACAACTCCCCATGGTACAGATCAGAGGTGCTAAACTAGAGACAGAGAAACTCAAGTAACACACCACTGACCTGCAGTACACACACACACACACACACACACACACACACACACACACACACACACACACACTTTTTTTGCTTTGCACCTGTTTCAACACAAATCAGAATGCAGTGCTCGTGCCAACACTGGCAGTGGAGGTAGCAGAGGGTAGAAACCAGTGTTTTAGGGTCTCTTCAGTCTTAGTATAATCAATAATGTGTAAATTTTGCACTAGATGTTGGTTGATCTTTTAGTCATTTGAAATAAAAAGATACCACAAACTTAATACGTCTTTTACACAGCAGCAGGCTCTTCTGTTTGGTGCCCAGTCATTTCTGGAGGTAAGCACCCTGTCAGAGCATCAACCACAGTGGCTACTATGTACTGTATGTAGTTATCCAAAGAGGCAGAGCTACACAAAAAGTACCACGATATTACCAACTGAGCATGTGAAATGTTGTCCAAACGTGTGTATATCAGGTGACAGAATGTAAATAACCACTGGATAAACAAGGGTTTTTTCACAACATACAGTAGCAGGTGCAATACTGTGCCTTGGTTTTTCATCTTCAGAACATCTCAACATTTCAACAATTCCAATTAAATGTGTGACTTGAAGTTTCCATTAAAAGTCTTGCAGGATTTTTTCAGTTTGGCCTGAGATAAACTGGAGAAGGTTCAAACCCTTCTTGAAAGATTTATTAGTGAGCCTCTTTGAGGACTTTCATCTCATTGCTTTGGCTGTGTGCTAAAGCTCACAGCAGGAAGCTACACAGTGAGGAAAACATTCACATTTACCAGTCACTTAACCAAGTTTTTACTTGCTTAATATTTCCTAAAACAATGGAGCCTGGTGACTGAAGGGTTGGCCATACCAAAAACAGTAACGATAATGATAACCTCATCAATAACGATGTGAGCATCCACACTGATGAACGATAAAGCTCTGTGAACAGTGATGCCAAGCACACATCGCATGCTTCAGCTCAGTTGGCAGCTTAGGAAATGATTGGTTGTCAGTGTTTTATCGTTCATCAAGTTGTTCTGAAAGTGATACCAATGACATCTTTCACCACTGTCGTTGTCTTCACAGTTGTGGCTTTTAATTTTGTTTTTTTAATTTTTAAAACAATATTTTTACAGTGGGGATGCACCGATTTATCAGGGCACATCAGTACTGGCTGATTTTCACCTTGTTGATGGCCATGGGCCCACTGGCAAATAAGATGACATTCACCGATGGCAGTGGCCGATGTTTTCCCGTTGCATCAATTTAGCAAAAGCTAAAAAGCAGGGCTTCAGAAAAATAGTGTCCTGTCACCTCTGTGACAATAAAACACGTTTCTGGGATGAACAGAGAGGTTCCCCCGGACACTGTCGCGACAAGAGGGTCACTGTAAAATCACTATCATCGCATCGGAACACACCCTATTGCTGCCCTGATAATGCTACATTGTGAACAAGAAATCTCTGTTGAAATCAGCAGAAGGAGAGCTAGTTAGCGTTAACCATTAGCAGCCAGTGGCTGGAGCTAACAGTTAACAGAGGTGGCATCAAGTTACATTATGATGCATTCAAGCTCCATTCAGTAAAAATGAGTATTGAGTGAAGGTAAATTATAACATTCTCATGATTTGAGAAACTTGAATAAATACAACTGTTTGAAGGGGAAATGTGTTGACGTTTTCACAGCAAAATAAAACATTAAAAAGGAAATTGTGACATAAAATATATAGTAAAAATGCTTCTGAAGCAGTTAAATTTGTCTTTTATGTGAAATAAGGTTATTGTTTCATATATGAGTATGAATTTAGGCTTACTCAGTGTAATGAAGGACTGAATGACGTTAAAACTATTTCGTTATTTTTTTTTAAATGAAGATTTCTCTGTTTCCCTGGCACCAAAGAGGAATAAAAAAACAACAAAAACAAAATAAACAACAACAACAACAAAAACACATCGGTATCAGCCATCAGCTATTGACCAAATTGTTATTTTGAACATCGGTATCAGCCCAGAATTTAAAAATCTGTGCATGTCTTATTTATAGTTATTGTTATAGTTATCATTCCTAATGTGGACAGCCCTTAAGAGGTAAAAATACCTCACCTACTAATCTCACTCACTTTAATATGTTGTTGTATAGTTCGAAGAGTGGCTTTAACACAAACCCACTTTAATCAAGACAGTGTGGGGAACATATGACATCAACCATACTCCCAATGTTTTGCATTGTAATAAGAGATACTTCATGTTCAGATCGACCCTAAGAAGAAATCATTCCATATTTGGGGTCTCTGTTAATTTGGAGATTTGCAAATCAACTTTTTGCAGTAATAGTTACTCAAAAGAAATCCACAGGATCCTGGGGAAAAGGTGCTAGCATTTTAGTACAGAATTGATTGATAAGGAGGCAGCTGTTAAAATAGTTCATCCTGAATCAATTTGTACATGACGTGTTTCATTCAATTTTCGAGATTTTTTTCTGCACTTTCTATGAACAATTAGATTGTTAGAAAATCCCCAGCAGTGCTCCTCAGTGCTGCAGTTAATGCAGTCTGTTTCCACCTCTGACCCATGACCCTCGGGATTTAAGAGTCCCAGCTTAACAGTGTAAAGCAGTGTTGACAGGAAATGCTTTAGGTCTGAACTGCCAACAGAGTATGCTCAAGATTGCTGAAAGCCTCTTGTTATTTAGGGTCATGCATTATCAAGCTATGAGGCACACAGGAGCACCTAGTTTGACAAACTTAGTGGATAAAACTCTTTGATCAAACCAACATGAGCCACTAGATCATAGTTAGCCAAACAGTGTCTGTTGTATCAGTTTTAAATGTGAGAGTGTACTGGACTTCTACCTCTTTCTGTTGTCGCTCCAGCTCCTTCATGCGGATCTCTCTGGCTTCTGCCCTGGCTGCCCTCTTTGCTGCCAGCCTGGCCTCGGCCTGAAGGGCAGATAGAGAAAGAAATAGAAACAGAGAGAGAAAATAGAAAAAACGAGAGGTGAGACAGCTTCCCAATTTGCCAGACTAAAGTGGCACACATGTACACATCTATAAATGCTGAACAGGCGTGTGACCAGAGGTCCAATTCCGTGACAGAGTTCTTAATAGACATGTGAAATGTGTGTTTAATCGTTGGGAAGTAAAGGCACCAGAGGTTTCAGCAACTGTCATATCCTAATGAATAATGGACCTTTAAACCAAAAGTGCAGGGGTTTACAGTTATACTGAAGTAATGCTTCTAAAACTTTTGCATGTTAAATCAAACAAGCAAGACTTTACACTGCAGTATATCACAGTAGATTGGATTATCAGTGCTGTAGCAGTGTCTACAGTACAAACACAGAATATCAAGTGTCCTTTAAACTCTGAACAGATGTAGTAGACTGTTTTTAGAAGCATACAATCTTGTGAGAATCTTAGGACCCATTGCAGACATGCAGTTACAATAAAGTGTAAATGTGTGTATGTATTTATATTTCTGTATTTGAAGGCATTTCCTTTGCTCCACTCAGCACTCGGGTAAGAGCAGGGCCTTTTCCTTAAAAGGACCTCTCTCAGAGCATGTACTGTATGAGTGTGCGCCACAGACTGTGTGTGTAAGCATTTCCTTCCTCTAGCTTTGTGGTAGACACTATGTAGTTGCAGTCTGTTCGCCTCTAGGCGGGGTCACTGTAATCCCTCCTACCCTTGCACTAATGCATTTCCCCACTGTCAGTCACCATGACCATGTAACAGGAAGACACAAAGTTTCAAAGGCAAGCATGTTCTCACACACTCTCTCGTACACACACACACTCTTAAAAGATGTTTAGTCATGACTCAGTAGACCCTCTTCACATACATTTAAAATCTTTCTAAATGAACAGCCTTGTCAGGCAAGACAAAAAAATAAAACTGTTCCAGTAATTTTAAAAATCTTCTCTATCTCCAGGACACAAACCAGATGGAAACATTCAACTCTCTTTCTTCCATTTTTACTTCTTCAGACTGATAATGTGTGCAGTTTGCAGCAGTGATTTGGCTGCCTGTCCTCTACTAGAGTTCACTCAGTATTATAGATCTGGTTGCCAGTTAGTCCATGACATTTTATTTTACATTTGCATGCGTGTGTTGTCATATGACTGGCTGTGTTGCTTACCCAAGCAGGCTGATCCTGGCACATCTTATTTTATGATAATTTTAGTTACTTGATGACAGTGTGTGTGTCCCTTGATGCATTATGTGGCATTTCTGCTGTCTGTTTCGGAACTTTCAACTTCATGTGTTGCTGCTGCTGTATGCAGTCATCATATAAAGACATCAATATATTGCAGTGTTGTTCATATAATGATAAGGTTTACACAGTGGATGCATTGCCATGGCTGTCGCTTTTCCCCGTCCATCCTGTGGAGCCTTTCACATTACTGTAATATTGTGCAAAGCCACATCACAGAAGATTGTTATCACAAGCACACCACACCTAACCACACCCAACTGTGATGATGGTTGTTTCAACAACAAACACAAACCTTTCAACCTGCAGAGGTCAGTGTAGCAATGCTTCTTCTCTGTACAGTCAGTGTGTAGATGCTCTTTAAATTATACATGCAGGTTTAAAGTCTGCAGAAGGACTTACACAATGTCCATCTGCCTCTTTGTTTAAATGGAGGAGAAATGGGCGACAGAGGCCTAAAATGTTAGAACAGCAGGCTTGTTGCTGCATCAGTGGAGATGCTTTTTACCCTGAAGCAAGCTGTGTGTACCAAGCACCTCCTCCTAATGGGGAAGCAGGACATTACAAACAAAAGAGAGAATGTTGTCCTCAGTAAACACTGAAATAACTAATCTTGGAAATAATTAAATAAATACTTAAACTGAAACAGTCACAAAAGCTCTTCAAAACAGTCATCTGAGCGATGATGGAGCTATTCCAGAAATAGCCCTTACTGATTGCTGTCCTCCCTGTGGCTCACTCACTGACTCCTTTAATGGCATTTCCTCTGAGTCAATGATTGCCCATTGTCCTTGGGATTCTTAACATTCGTGCCCAGGGCTTTCAGAAAACACAAAAACAAGCTCTTCAGATCCAATCCTGTACCTGTGCTGACGCATCTATACTGAAGCATACACATACAGGCTCTCTCTTTTAAAAGCACATTTTATCTTCCCTGAGCCTTGGGGTGACAAAGTTGCAGTGTCAGAGGAGAAACATGACATCAGTGTTTTAGCCTCCAGTAGCATGATTATAGCTCTTGAAAACCTCCACTAACATGGACACTTTGCTTTGATGACGGAGCGCTGGTCTCACTTATTTCATCAAACAAGCTCAGGCGTTAAGGGCTTTTACTCTTTTCTCAATTGTCACTTGTTTACATTAAGTGTACACAACCTTCTTCTGACTTCATTCAAATGAAAGGCATGAGGAAAAATAGACATTTTAGATACAGTTGTTATCAATCACATGGATTTGGAAATGACTGTCAAACATTTTTGCCATTGTTTTTAATTTATTTGTCAGATGGGTGGGTACTACAGTACCACATACAATACAACACAATACAAAAAGTGCCAGAACATGCAGACAATCATATCCTATTGAATTAGACTTTCCTGTGAATAACAGCTTACTTGACACTCTTTGAATTGTGCGGATGCAGTGAACCCCACCCAACAACAGCATGCAGGCTGAAACAAACCTAAGAGCTATTTCCATGTCTATTACTAATCTAGTGTAGCACACTTTGATGTTTGTCTATGGAAGCAAATACGATACTTAAGTATACCTTATATTGGAATTTAAACACCATTGAATTCACAGCATTGAAATGTTTTACTTTAAATGTTATTTACCGTTTTGTTTAATTTACTTTAAACCATGCATTTTTGCTTTGAATTCACCTCTTTGAAATTGAAATAATATATTTTTTGATTTGCAGTTAATTTCAAAAGCATATTTTTTTCAATGTTCACAAATTCAGATCCAAAAATTCATTTTATAGAATCTCACTGATAAGAAAAAAAAGATTCCCATTGCTCAAATTCTATTGGTCAAAATCAGATCTACCAATTCCAGTCCAAAAAAAATATTTTCCCTGGTAGTCACCTTTGGGTCTCAATTTTCAAACCACTTTCTTGGCTTACATAAATGACAGACTGTGTCCTAATAGACCAGAAGTCAGTTCAATGCACTGAGGCTCGATTGCCTACCCTGTCCTAGGCAGCTGGTATGTGCTGTCGGATTTGACCAATCACATTTAAGCAACCTGCAACCGAATACTTATTTCTCTTATTTGCTTCCATGTTTGCCACACTATGCCATCATCTATTCTGTAATCCTGTTCAACACCACTGCGTCATGACTAACAATATGGCTGATATACTATTCTGAAGTCAACACAAGCCGTCTGTACAAACCCACAAAGCATTAGGCTGTTTCAAAGCCACTGTGTGTGTGAAATGTGCTGTATCACTATACAGTTGTTTACTGTAGTCAACTTGTTTGGACTAGGTGAAGTTTTATCAAATATGTCTTTATGTACTCTTGACTGGCCCAGATGCTGGTTCAGACTACAGAACAGAAATATTACGTTGTATCTTGTAACGGAGCCCAAGTCAGGTCAGGTTGGGGAGGAAAAGTGTTTAATGAAGTCGAAATATTAATTTTACATTCCTCTAAAAATAAACACATGTATTATATTTTGGAATGGACAGCACATTATACAGTATATTATACTCAAGTGTGTTTTGCCAAGCACATAACAACAATCAGTCATGGTTACTAGCATGACTGTGTGTCCAAAAACAGACATTGAGAAGTCCAGCATGACTGGTGTAAAATAAAATGTAAAACCACTGAATTCTCAAAAGTGAACATTCAAAGACAGTCAATATGCTTCAAGCTGAAAAGACTGTCCTGCCTCCTATACATCATTTACAAGATTGCATTCTCTTGCCGTTTTGTAAACTGTCAGCTTCGTACTGGTAATTTCATCACAGTAAATGTCTGAGTGTAGCAGTTCTGCAAAACCCTCTTGAAACTGAGAGGTGTGACTGATTTCCTTTTTACTGGGTGGGAGTGCTGTGTATGATTAAAAGCTCACTCACTTGGGGTCATATTTCTTGAGAGAATTATTAAACTCCCGACTATTTAAAAAACAGGCTTGCTAGAAAGAAACCGACTGGTTTCTCTGAAAACAAGACTTGTACAAACAGTTACTTCTTTTACAAGAACACTGTGTAAGTAGACAACAACGGTAATCTGCACACCTGAAGACCAATGCTATCATTCAATCATGTAAAAAATAACCGTTAGCAGCAATATGAGCCATTTATCTTGTATATGCTAAGCTAAAAATGTGCAACAATCTGTCAACAACAAAGTGTTGAGTCAGCTTTTTTTCCCCAGGGTTGATCACTTACCGTACCGGACACCACCTGAGTTGCCTTGACTTGTCAAACTCCATTCACCTGGTTTACTATAAAACAAACGCCAACACAAATACTGTCCATACATTATGTCACTGCAAAAATCAGCCTGCTGTTTATTATATAATAATTATTTCAAAAAAGTACCTTCCTGCAGTTATCAAAATACACCATTATGTCAGTCCCTGTAAGTGAGTGAAATCCTGGATCATCTGAGTGTCCACACATGTTGTATCTATGGGTGTATGTTGTAGCTGCCTGTAGTCAGAGAGATGCATCTAAATAGGCCAAAAGACAGAATCCCACATCCTTTCCCTCCTCCTTTACAGCTATTTATAATGACCTACATGGTCTCTGGTTCTATCAGAACTGCTCTAATTCAGCACAATTTCAACAGGGTCAATGTCCTCCTGAGAGCAAATGAGCTAGTTCATTACAAAAATGAATGCTCTAACAAGATCTGACAGAACCTTTGAAACGCTTTAAATGCTGACAAAAGAAGAAAAAACGATAAGAGTTTAGGGCAAGGCTAATTT